AGCGGGATAAGAAGAGGGGATCAAAGCAGCATAAATTGCATATAAATTGCATTGTGCATTGTTTTTATCACTTTGGTGTTCTTTCAAACTACTCTATTGACATGTTAGACTGTCAATTCGAACAGACTAACAATGTTGTATATAGTGTCTTGTATAGTGTGTGTATTAATTCACTGAATTAGAAATATTAGAGTCAACCATCAAGTCCTTGCAAGGAGAACAAATCTTAAATACCAAAACATAAGCCAAAATTCTAGATGAATTCTAGATCAGCATCCATTCAAAGTTCTAGCAAAGAAACCTCTTGAGCTGTGTTTGTTCTTTATCCTACAAGGGCCCAGTAGAATATAACAAACACTGCCTTTTTTATTTTTTCTAACAGAAAAGGGTGAATTATGGATGCTAAATCTGAACCACAGTGCCTGTACAAATTGCAGGCCGCATGGCTCCTCAGGCTGCCTGAGAAAGTATCCTGGGAAAAATATCAGAAGGAATTAAAACAATTCTCAGGGACACTAAACAGCCTTACAGGTGTTGTTTTACAGCTTCTTGTTTCTCCTTGCAGGAGAGAGTCAGGGGGGCAAAGTGCCCCTGACCAATGATGGTAATGTAGCACTTTGCTAGCCAATAAGAGTTTCTTTTCTGTACCTTTCCACGTATCTGTCTATAAGACAGGCTGAAGCAATAAACGAAAGAATTCTCATGTTGTGACTCCCTTGAGAGTCCAGTGTCGTTCTTTCTAGCCGTTCCCAATCGGAACGACAGCTGTGGCCCAGCCTTGCTTGGGGCTGGGATTCTGCAGCCTCCATCCCTGTCCAGGAGCCACTGGGGTCCGGCCCAGCCTCTCCCAGGAGCACACGCCATGGGTGAGCAGGGCCGGCCTCACCAGAGCTCCATCACCTTCTGGGTCCAGAAGCCAAGAGAGAGGTTTCCCTAGCTTTATTTTCAAAAATGTAGATCTCACAGAGGCAGACCTAATTTCTAAATGGTTCAAAATGTTGTCACTTCTCAGCACTAGCCAGCTATTGACCTTTCCCAGGCACAGAAGGAGCTCCCAGCAGCTCCTCTCAGAGAAATCACTTCCGTGGGTGCTTTCTTTCTTCTTCTCCAAATATCAATCAATGTGAAACCACCACAGGGATACAAATCCAAATGGCAGCAACCCAAATGCTCTGGAGTCACAGCTGAAGGCCTGCATCTGCACAGGATGTTTTGGCTGCCCCACCCCTCCACTGCTTGTACCTGCAAATGCCCTTTCTGCCTCAATTAGACATACCACACAGCTGGGCAAAACCCAGCCAGTGAGCCAAATTCCAAAGGCAGTGCACTTTGGAGAGGATGACTGAAGAAGAGCCTTCCCCACTTGCAAAGCACACCAAAGAAGCCATGAATATCACTTTGCACCTTGAAGAGACAACTGACAACTCAGAAGGAAATGCTGAGATTATTCACAGGGTAAGAAAGAAAGCAATCTTCCACATGAGTTAAAATTTCAGAAATTTCATTGATTTATAGTCCTACTCTATAACCCTACTCTACAATCCTAGTCCACAATGATACTCTAGAACCCTACTCTACAATCCTAGTCTACAATCCTACTCCAGAACCCTACCCTACAATCCTAGTCCACAATGCTACTCTATAACCCTACTCTACAATCCTAGTCTACAATCTGACTCTATGCTGGTGTTGGAGTAAATGGTCCTGATGGCATTATCACAGTGTTTTCTCCTCCTTCCTCCTCTTCACGGAAATGATCAGCAGCGCCAGGCTGGACACAGGCTCAGTTAATGTTACAAATGGATGCTGCTCAAAAGGGAAAAAAAGAAATGAACAGAACTCAATTAACCATGATTTTCCAAGCTCAATGCTTCACAGCCTCAATCAGGATTCCTCTGTGTCATGGAATTACTTTACATTTAAGGGAGTCGGAGTTGCTGGGAACTGCCTGGAGTCTTTTCTCCTGACCAATTATCGGTCATTGCTGAGAATTGACAGCAGTTTAGGCCATTCAAAAGTGGGATCAACTTGTGAACCCTACCTTAAAGTGTAAAAGCAGAGCTCTCTGGGTTCTCTTTGTTTCCTGGCTGTGAAGGGTGGCAGAGCTCCAGGCCTCCCGTTCCCTGCCCAGGCCATGAGGCCGGGCGGGGACTGGGCCGGGCCCAGCAGCTCCCGGCCGGGAGATGGGGCCTGCGGAAGGTTTTCCTCGAGCCCGGGCTGGGCCGAGCCGAGCCTGATGTCTGGCTTGGCTACACATTTTGCTGTAACTAAATTCACTAGAAACTGCCGAGTGAAGAAAGAGAGAGGCTCTGGACCTGCAGCAAACAGAGACAGCCACACTCTCCAGAGCATCTATGAAGAACTTTCCATCGCAGACGGCTCCAGCTCTGGTTCAGCAGAGATCACCAAACCATCTACAAAAGCCTGGGCAAGATTTTAACTCCTTCATTACCCAGATGAGACTTGCGGATTAATCTTTTTATCCAGAGAGAGAAAAAGAGAGTGATCAACATGAAAAGAGACTTTATAAACTACCAGTGACAGGAAAGAAAAGAAGCTTCAGAAGAGGTAGAGAATTAAGAAGATGCTTTAATTAAGCTGAAATATCTTTCTGTTAAAACTATGGAGATGGACAATGAAGTCCTGAAAAGAACTCTTTTAATTCATGATACAGTATGTAGGGAGGAATAAAGTGTTCAAGTGTAAATTTGAGTAAAAAGTAGAGTAATTATGGTATAGTGAAGTGCTGGGAGATTTGAAGCCTTGAGAGGCAATGAGAAAACTGTTTTCTAGTGAAGCTCACAGAAACAGATGAAGAAGACTTTTTTGCCTTTGAATAACATCCTTAAAATGCCATGCCTAGACTCATGGCCCATACACACCTCAGAGTGACATGAAAATGGGAGGAGTGGGCTCTGATAACAGCAGCTCTGGGCAGCTAACATTAGGGCAATGGAAAACTATAACAAAAATAGTTTTCTTGTGAGAAACTCCATAAATTAACAGGCAGAAACTTCTGTTTCCCTACAAAGACTGGTGAAAAGACTGTAGCAGGAATTGGGACTGTTTTAACCACCAAAGTTCCAAGTTTTTTTTGTCTCTGTTATCATGTGAACAAGGGAATAGTGGGTAGATAGGGGATGAAAAGGTTTTTCTGGAAGTTTATTCCGGTGTTCTTATTATTGTAGTTTGTCAATAAACTTCCTTTTTTTCCCCTTTTAACTTCTATGCCTGTTTTGCTCTTGTTCTAATCCATATCTCACAGCAAGAAATAAGTAATTTTCTTAGTTATTGGTTTAAAACCACAACAATGGGGGAGGAACCAGGAAGGTGGCAGTGTGTGCAAGGGCCGTTAGTGATGGTGCAGCATGGTAACGGTGGAATGGAACGGTGGAATAGACAAGAGCTGGTGGTGGCAAGACCACACCAGAGTGCTTGGTGCACGCAACAAGACAGGACACGCCAGAGCAGTGCTGTGAGGAGCCCCCTCACAGCACACTCATTTGTGTGTGACCCGGAGCTTCTCTGAGCCGTCATTCCTGCAGGTGACCTCGAGGCCAGACTGCAGGACTTGGTGACCTGTGGCCTTGCCGAGGCTTATCTTCTTAAGGTGACCTTGAGGGCAGACAGTGGGACTTGCTGCCTCGGAGCTTTTCTGAGGCATCGCCCATCCCTGCAGTCACTGCCCTTGAGACCAGGGCACAATCCTTGAGGAGGAGCCTCCTGTCCTTGTGACAGGAGCCCTCAAGACCCGAGTGCAGGACTTGCTGTCCTGCAGTCTTGCCAGGACTTGAGTCTTGCAGGTGCCTTCCAGGAACGACTGCAGGACTCCCTGCCTCGGAGCTTTTCTAAAGGCATCTCTCTTGCAAGTACCATAAATCCAGGCACTGCCATGGAGCAGCAACCCCCAAGAGTTCCCAAGCTGGCCTGGATGCAGGAGGAGGAGGAATAAGAAGGCCCTGGAGCTGCCCCAGAGGTAGAGACTGAAGAGGTGCAGGAATTCCAGACACTGGAGGAGGGTGAGTTGCAGAGTTTGGCCTTAGGACTAGTGCCTGTTGCTAGCTTGGCCGCATCCCACTGCATGCCATGCCATGCCATCCCCTGGTGCTGTTCCTATGGAAAGGATGGGAGAGTGTTGGAGAAGATCTGGAGCAGCAACCCCCGAGAGTGCCCAAGCTGGCCTGGGTGGATGAGGAAGAGCAGGAGGAGGAGGAGGAGGAGGAGGAGGAGGAAGAAGGTCCTGGAGCTGCCCCAGAAGTGGAGACTGAAGAGGTGCAGGAGTTCCAGCCGCTGGAGGAGGGTGAGTGATAGAGCTGGGACAAAAGGCTGGTGCCGCATCCGAACCCATTGCATCCCATTTCATCCCATCCCAACCTATCCTGTGGAGACACACCCAGGGACAGGACACAAGTGGGGCTGAGGCTGCCCCTCCAGTAGTGGCCATGCACCATCCCCTGGGGCATCTCGGGGCTGTCCCTGCCTGGGGATCACAGGACTGGGCTGCGTTCTCTGGCCACTCCTGCAGCCCCTCAGCTCTGGCTGCTCTTGCTCTTTGCCAGATGCAGCCATGGACCAGACACAAGAGCAGGACCTTGCCTGTGGCCTCTTCCACAGAACACCTGCACAGGTACCTGCAGCCATCCCCAACTGGGCTGGGCCTGCTGGCACTGCTCAGCTCAGCACCATGCTTGGAACACTCCATGCAATATCCCTCTCTTCCCACCCTTCCTTCTCCTACCCAACATGCAAATTCACCAAGCGCATTTGGCAAGAAGAGACCAGTGTCATGGGCACTGGGTCCATGGAAGATGGTGACGTCTACACCAGCGACACCAGTGCTGCCATGATGGAATTCATTTTAGAGGAGGGTGTTTCCATTCCAGAGCAAGTAAGCAGCCTGTGGCCAGGGATTGATCCTCCAGGGATCGCTTGGCCTCCCAAGCCACGCCTGCTGATCACTCTAAGCCTTTGAGGCCATTGCAGCATGGTGACAAGGGAAGCACTTCTCTGGGGAAGCTGGGGACATTCCTGACTCCCTCTGGCAGCTTTCCAAGTCTTCCCTTGTGCCTTCTCCAGGTGCCTGCCATGGTGAGGTACATCCACCAGTGCCTCATGGCTAATGAGTCTGCTGACTCCAGGCTGGGCAGGACCCTGCTGGATCTGACCGAGGCACAGCCCGCTGACGTGGTCATTGCTCTCCTGCGTGTGGCCCCAACGTGTGACAGGTACGAGGCCCATGTGCCCAGAGGGCTCAGGGCTCCCCAGCCCATCAGCCTGCACAGCCTGGCCCAGGTGTCTGACCAACAGAGAGTTCCAGGGTCCTGTGTACCTGGGACCTTTCCCAGCCCTGCTCCATTGGCCCCTGAGCCTGCTGCCATGCTGTGGAGACTTCAGGGCAGAATGGTTAGGCGAGAAAGGCCATGACTGTACAAACTTGCTAGAGATAAAACACCACTAGTGCAGAGGCAGTCTCAAGGACGGATTGCCCTTGAGATATGGGGAGGAGAACAAGAATGTGGTAAACAGAACGAGAAAGAAGAACCAGGGACGGTCTGGTAACCGCAAGAATGCAGAAGCACATAGCTATGTACCGCAGTAACATAGATAGCAGAATAACCAATGATGAGCTATACTTTTGCAATATGTATGAGCTAATTAAATCATGTATTTAAACACGAGTGTAATGATCAATAAACGAGATTTGCTTGACGACCACCTGGTGTCTGCGTCTCCCTTCTCCGACAAATGGCGACCCCGACGTTGACCCCCTGCTGAGAAGAAAGCGGGTGAGAGAACATGCCACGGTCGGTGAAGTAGTGTTGGGGCCCGATGCACCCAGGTCGGTGCTAAACGACGAAGGGAAAGCACCCTCAAGGACTACATTGGTGGTCTTGAGCCATACGTGCTGCCGGAGCCGGAGAGGTGCAACAGCGCTGACGACAAAAATGGACAGGCAAGCAGCATATGATTTATTTTTGGGGTTATTAGATAAGCTGGGGGTTAGAGACATAAATCCTA